ACTTTTTTATGTATATTCCTTATTGTTGACAGTGGAACACCAAAATACAACAAATGATATAAAAATATAAAATCTGAAAATTTCGATAAAACAATGAAGGTTTCTGCAGCAAAAATGCTTCTTCAATCAGTCATAAGTAGTTGGGATTTATTTTTAGGCGAGAAAAATATTTTTAATTAAAATAGTAGAGACGATTAAGACGGCATATTGGGCTGGAGAGATTACTGTTAGGATATGGGCGAAGATATGTTTAATTTGTGAAAAAAAGTTCTTTCAGTTATAAAAATTTGTATAAAAAATGTAATCATTTATGGCAATTTAAATAATGTTGAAAAAAGTTAATGAAATATCAACTATTTTTAAAACTAAAATAAATCTTTTCTAATGATTTTGGTATTGCATTCTCTGGATTGAATTTAAGTCTTTAATAATTCATAGCGTCATTGAGTGTTCTATGCATCAATGCTATTTAAAATATGTTTGTGCATTAATCCATTAGCTAATAAATTTTTATTGAACTTACCACTAAAATAATAGCAATGAAGCACCACTCCTTTGACCTTATTGGATTAAAGCTATGGATCACGAAAATGTCTGCATTAGCTTTGATTAAATTTTACCTAATAATAGCAAAATATATTAAAATACGAATATAAATCATATCAATGGATTAATAAATTAAGCAAGTATTGGAAGAAACTAATATTTATTTTAAAGAAATATTCTAATTATATTAATTAATAAATTTGCATTCTAAATTATATCACCAAATTATTTAACAAAGATATGTTTCAAGTGTGTTTCATAGTCATATTTGTGCTATTTAGTTTTTTATTAAGTTTTAGCCAGAAAATCTGATATGCTATTTCTATATATTCTCAAAGTTAAAAATCATTCTAAATCGTTTGATACCCTAATTGGAACAAGTTTGTTATGCATACGTAGTTTCTCCTGAATTTGACTTTTATAAGACCTTTACTCCAGAATTTTTTGATAAAATAATGAAGTTTTCTGCAACAACTCCAAAGGATCCTTCTTCAATCATTCATAAATAGTTGAAAAAGATTCTCGAAATAATTGGCATAGCTTTTTCTTTAGAAATGTATAAAATTGATTTGAAATTTATTTAAGTTAAAACCAAAAGTTGAACTATGATATTGAGGTTTTTATACATCAAATATTATAATTACTTGAAATCACAATTTGAATGCGATTTGATTTATTTCCGTTTTTGAATTTGAAATGCTGCTACAATCTGACTTTTACTAAAATATATTTTCATTGGTTTTTATTATCAGTTTTTCATTGAACATTTTGAACGAAGGTCGTAATATTTGACGAGTGTGTGTAATGAGAGTTTAATTGCTCCCGCTGCTTTTATAATACCTTTTCTCCGTTATGATTTGCATGGGAATGTTATAGGCAAATAAAAATCAAGAGAAAATTTATAAGAGTTTACAGAAAGAAAATTTGACAATTTAGTTTAACAAGTAAGCATAAGAATTAATTAATATGTTGCATTTTTTATATTGGCCTCCTTACTTAGAGCATTTAGCCACCTACAACATTTTTATTTATTTTTTTATATTCTATATCATCTTTATATATTCTAAACTATCTTGCATATATATTCTATAGACATATATTACATATATACGGATATTTTGATTTTTAATATTAATACTATGCATATGTTATTTTTCATGTCAAATGGATTACTTCTAATATTTATTTCGAACCTCGATATTCTAAAAATAATTTCAAATGCGTTGAGAGAATTTATATAAATGTAAATAGATCAAATTAATTGTAACCTATCATATATCTTTTATATATTTATATATATCCTTTACTAAATAGATCTTATGTAAGTGATTGTTGTATCAACAGACATTTTACCTGTATTTATGTAAATCGTATTGCAAATTCCGATTGTTATATTTTCGCATTTCAGCATACTTAGAAATAGGATATTTCCACGTGTCACACAAAGTTCGATTTTGATTCGCAGAAATTCTCTAATGTAAGTGTTTGTTATTTACTGATTAAAAATGAGATAATTATTATTATTAGGTTAAATTGTTATTCCAAATTTAGCTCGAATAGTTGTAAAATATCTCATGAATTAACTTTTAATAATTTTGTTTTGTATAGGATTATTGCATTAATAGTTTTTTTATAAAATTTGTGCACTTTACTAACAAACTAATTTCTTTTATTTTATATGGAATTTGTATATGGTTAGTGCAAAATTTGGGAGCTAGTTTTACATCGAGCTGGTTAAGTTAGATGGTACGACTAGAAGAATGTATCGGAAACTTCACTCTAAATAGTATTTAGACATTTAGTATAAAAGATTTTAATTGAAGAATTCTCAAGTCATTGCCCTTTAGATAACATGGAATTACTTCTAGAAAAAGCTTTTCCATATGACATTGTAGATAATGTTTAAATTTCAATTATTGCTTAACAAGTTCTGAAAATCCGGGTATAGTAGCTAACAATAACTGTAAATCATTTTGATATTAACGATTACCTAATAGTTATGAGATTAAGAACGAAGGAATATATGGCTGTTTAGGCATTGATAACATCAGACAAGGCAAAGTGTGGTTAAAAACCCTTGTGTGATTTTTCAGATGTGAGTATAGATTATTTTTAATATGGATGCTTTTGAATTTCCTTGCTCTCAGGGGCTCAAATGCTTCCAAATTGATAAAAACAATTTCTGTGTAAGTTTCAGCTCCTAATATTAACTTTGAGGTAGTCCGCACTCCAACCAAAGTTTCTATGGAAATAACATGAGTAAAATTCTATTTGTTTTATAATTATAATAAACAAGTGAATCAAAAGTTTGAGAATAACATTGAATTTGCTTACTTTGATTATAAATAAAAAAATTACAACAAAAATGTTATGTTTCCCAAAATAAGTACTTACTTAGGAAGAAAAATCAAGAAACTTTGGTTGGAGTCCGGACCAAAGAGTTGTTTTTTTATCAATTTGGAAGCATTTGAGCCTCTGGGAGCAAGAAAATACAAAAACATCCTTAAGGATTACCCTATTCCACATATATATTTAATTGTTTTAATGTTTTATTTTATAGAATGGAGACTAGAAAATTTGCACGGCAGTCTCATAAACCAAAAGGTCTAATTGAGTCGGCTAGTTCGCTGGTCTACATCCTAAAATTGTTTGGTATTGCGCCATTTATTCATGTCAAAACTAGCCAAGGACTACGATATCGTTTATCATATATAAGCAATATATATTGTGCTACCCTAATGATACTATATGTGATATTTTTCCAAATTGCTGTAGATGAAATGAAAAGTATGTCACAGAGAACACTCAACAATATGTCTAGTATCACTACTTGGTGTCAAGTAAGTAAAAATAATAATTATTATTATTTATTTTGTTTGGCAGACTTATGTTGTGGGAAGGCAACTCATCAATCTGGCTTTTGCAGTCCTTAATTACTAATTCTAGCAACATTTGCTTACTATTGTTCTCGTATAAATATATCTTGATTTTTTAAATCTGTTAAAATTGCTAAAGAAAATTTTTCAATATTAATGATTAATAACATATTGCAATTTAAATAATTCACAAAATGTTTGAAAAACTTAAATCTTGCCTCTTTGAAAAATTCTGTTTTATATTTACTTTATTATGTACTTTATAATTATATTATAATTATAATTATATATATATATATATATATATATATATATATATATATATATATATATATATATATTCAATAAGTTTTTGCAAACGATAAATGATTAATAAATTGTGATTGCAATAAATGTTTGCATCTTATAATAGTACATTTTTACACAGATATATGCAATATTGGTGGCATTGTTTTTCGCAATGTTTACATTTTGGTTTAACCAAAAAAAGATCATGACAATTATGCATAGATTTGTAGAATTGGATGACAAATTAGATGAATTAAATGCGAAACCTGACTACGAACGGTAATTGATACAATAGATTTAATACTTGATTTGTTGAGTTACTAAAATTTTTTTTTTTTAGGCGTTTTAGGAAAATTGTATCTGAGCTAATTTTTCTCTGCTCAATTATTATAATATCTGTATTGACACATTCAGCCATCCTAAATCCAGATGGAGTCACAATAAGGATTAATACACTGTACTTTTGGTTTATTTGTTTCTTTCCAATAATTGTCAACTCTCTAGTAATAACAACTTTTGTGTACATGCTAAAATTATCTTATTTTCGATTTAAGATCATTAATGAACTTATGATTCAGGCTATGCCACTTTTTGGTATAAAAGTTACAAAGGACAATTTATTTTCTTTGAAGGTGAGACTGCTTTGTTGTTTTAGTATAAGTAGCTTTAGTATGCATGTTGTTTATTGCAACGATTAAAAGCTTCCAGATCTAGAGCTGGGACAACCCGGTCTATGAAGTCTATGGGTTTCTAATGTCACTATAATGTAAAGGTCGCATTGGGGTCCAGTACACCCCAGTGGTACGGGATTGGTTAATACTGAGTTAAGAATACTGGGTTAAATTTGGCAAGAGCCAATAGTATATTTTTTATTTCACCACTTGCGATCTGTTTCATTAATTATTTTGTTGTTCTTTCATAAATTAATACAATATATTTCATTTGCATTCAGGTGATTATATATAATTTTTTAGGAAACCACCAAGCAGGATAAGCTTCCAATAGCTGGTCAAAAATTAGATGAATTTGTTCAACGTTTGTCGTTTATTCATGCTGCTTCCTCTGGCATAGTAAGGCGGATTGTTGGCGTATTCGGTTTACATATATTAATAAATATTGGGATATATTTTGGAGTCATAACAATAAAATCGTATCACATGTTTGCTATGATTATTGGAAATTCTGAACTGGATTTAGCAACTTTTGCTTCTATTTTAACTTTAATAGTTGTGCTATTCAGTGTAATTGTGTCTATAGCAACATACTCTTCATTTTTGGAATCTGAGGTAAATCTGAAATTATAGATGAATATGTAATCGATCTCTTCCGCACTATATTTGCAATAACTATTAAATAATTTCTATATGATATTAATTTTATTGCAGTCGAAAAAAACTGGGATGCTTATTCATACATGGAATGTCAGCAATTGTGACAATTTAGTACAGAACTCGGTAACATCTTATACTTGTATAAAATTAATTATTACATTAATACAATGAATCAATGAAGAAACTGCTTCAACAATAATTTAATTGCAGATTGAATTATTTTCAATGCAAGTACTACATAACAATCTGAACTTAACTGCTTGTGGATTTTTTAATTTGAACTTTGGGTTATTGACTTCGGTAAGTTATAATAACTGCAAGTACTTAACCACATAGGATTATTTAATATTGATTCATAAATTTATTTTTCGCAAACTTTTTGTCATTAAGATCTGCATCATAAAAATTTGAAATATAGCTTAAAAGTACATATCAAACCGAATATGGGATTTAATAACATAATTATAATTAAATATAAGAATTATTTTGAAGTGTTCATTAAATATCATTGCAATTTTTAGATAATAGGAGGCGTCGCTACATATTTGGTTATAATAATTCAGTTTCATGTCTCTACAAATACGTCGATCGCATAGACTTAATAAACGATTAACTGACGAATATTTGCTTATAGTAATTAATTTAAAATAATCGTTATATATTGTAAATTTCATAGTATGCTATACACCTAAATATCATAGAAATAATGATTTTAGTTCAGAATATGAAGAAATAAAAGATTTTAGTTCAGAATATGGAGATTTTCACCAATCAATATGCACAAGTCTAACAGCTAATCAGATTTATAAACCTATTATGTATTTTATTTGATTTTTGTGTGATATATGAACGTATGAATAGTAATATAATCGACATTTTCAGTTTTTTAAAGAAGTTTTCGAAAATGTAAAAGATGTTTGCCAACCCTTTGTCTACCATGTTCTTATACATTCATAATGTAATCAGCTCCAATAATTTATTGTCATAAAATTTATAAAACTACCAATGTATTTTACCAACGACTGTTATAATATGTTATAACTTTCAAAATGTGATAACCGTTTACCTAGAAAATCACAGAGGCTAGAGAACTTACAAATCGATGGCGGCCTCTACTCGATTCAAGAAGAAGCCGCATTTTGCACATCGAGACAACACACCGATTAAATTATAAATTAAAATCAGGAAGTATGGTTTGATAAATTTCCTTTGCCGTTTCACAACATACTATTCACCTTGATGTTATTGAAAATATATTTGATCAATCGATTTAAATGAAATTGGATATCACTGCTGCATGATGTCAGGTTGTCTAGGGGTAGTTGACGTTTGAGAATAAGGGAATATGTGTGAAAACTGCTATGCAACGGTCAAGATTGGCTGTCTATTTTTTTAAAGATCTAAGCAACATATTGAAAAAAAATATCTATTTTTTCTTTATTTTACCAATTTTCAATTTGTGAAATAATTACGTATTAACTAAGGGTAAGTTATAGTAATGGGCCAAAAATCAAAAATCAAAATTTTTGCATATCTTCACGTTTTAGAGGTTTCTTCAGAAAAATGGATGTGTGTGTATGTATGTATGGATACAATTTTTCGTCGACGTTTTCGGGAGTACCGCTTAACCGATTTGAATAATTGAAAAAGCAATCGATTCCTATTGATGGGAATTAGTGCTGATTAGTTTTTGGGAAATGTCCCTCCAGCCGTCTCCAAGATATGAGCAAAGTGTGCAGAAAATGGAAACTAGGCTTTTGCGAGATTCGGGCATCCGATTGGAATGATTCAAAAAACATTCAATTCGTGATGATGGGGAAAAGTGATAATTAGCTTCTGGCAAAGGCAAAACCAGCCATTATAAAGATACGAAGCTAAATGGGCAAAAAATTACATTTTTGAGAGAACTAAACATTCGATGTAATTATTATGATGTAATGATGTAAAAACACCAAATAAAATTCTTTGAATTTGTTTAAAGACTGGTTTATACCAATTGGTGTTAATTTCAAATTTATTTGATAGTTTAGTCTATATCGATGGCGTTCGATTCGAAATTGCATGGAGCATTGTAATTAAATCGATTTGAAATAATGAAATATTCAAGTTTGATAATTTTAGCTTTAATGGTTTTCTCACGCAATGGCGGTTTCGCATAGGATGAATTCCGTATGATTTGTAATTTAGATACGGTACGATTATTTAAATGTCTTAATTAACTCAACATTCTTTAGGTGATAAAAAAACTTAATGTCTTCTAACTATTTATATGAATTATGTAAAACAATTCTATTTTAATAAAAATATGCGTTTGGCCTTACATTAGTGATGAGAAAATTGTTCGAAAATTAGCTATTTTAATAGTTGATTAATGTTAAAGCAAAAAATATAATAAAAATTTTAATACTCTGAATAGCTTGGCCTGAGGAGCAACCATAAAATGCTTGATTATTCATTATTAAATTAAGCCCCATCATTTAGGAATAAATGAATATTTTGTATTCTACGGTTTCATTGTAATATACTACAACTTACTACGTAACTATTTGTCAAAATATTTCAAAAGTGTTCAGCAGATTTCAAATATCGTTAGAGTTCAATGATATTATATGACATTAATAATCCCATACGTTTCAGTTAAAACTTTAATCTTTAGTTTTTCAAAAGATTTTGGACATTCATTAAAATCAATTTGCATTTATTAGTTTTATTAATATAATAATATATAACATAAAATATATTATCAATTGCTCATTACAAATTTTCTACTAACATCAAGATAGATCTCACAATTTTGATTTTTGTATTTTCTAATTATCATTAGTAATTTGATGTGTTTGTTGTACTTGTAGTACATCATACTAATTTTGGAAAATATTTTCATATACTCTTAAATAATGTTTCGTGTATTTATAAAATTCTGGCATCATTATCTTGATTTTCGAAATATCAATTTCAAATTTATTTTGGAGACTGGATACGGTTGTGCCAGTGCACGGTAGTGGCAGTTGTGATAACTATACTGATTTTGAGATAGGGTTCAAAGCGAGACAAATAAAGTATGTTTTTTCGAACAAGTTTCCATTATTGCATTAAGTCAGCGCTCTACATTAACATGATCTATATTCCGCATTGCTTTTAGAGTCAAAAGTAAAATTTTATTCTTTTAATTAAAACTGTTGCTTGTATACATATAGATTACTTTGTTTTTTTTTTGTTGTAAGTTAAACATTAGTGTTCAATTGCCAGTAATTAGTTATGTTTTTTGTGACATGTATATGTCGTTACATGTTTTTCTTGTAATTTTTGGTTAAAATTTAAACAGATAAAGAAAAATCTAACTTAACTAATAATAAGACAAAATACTAAAGAGAAAGGGAAAGGAAAATTCAATGTAACAAAAGAAAAGTTTTCACAAATTCATAAGTTTTGTTCAAATAATTATGTTGTGTTGTGTTACATATTTTTGACAACAAAAATTGGTATAAACAATTTTGGTGCTTATAGCTATTGCTTTTTAACTTATACTTATGTTTGTCACAACCGTCCTGGGCGTGTGGACGGTTGTGAGTGACACTGGCCTTTTTCTTCTATAATTTGATTCATTTTTGACTATTTCATCGTATTTAAGGACCATTGCTGATGAAAAAAGTGGCACAACTGTACTCACTCTCCTCTAATAATAATAATTAATAAAAATCAATAAGAGCACCGTTGAAAATAGATAAATGCTCAAAATAAAAACAAGAATAGATTAATATATTTAATTATTCTAATTTAAAATTAACTTATTAAAGATTCTAATTTTAAGCTGCTATATTAATCAACTGTCTTATAAATTGATTAAATTCAAATAAATTATATTTTTTTAATAATTAAACAAACTAGATATATAATTAGATTATTATCCATAATATTATATTAACATTGCCTAAAATGTTGATCCAAATTTGAGCATTTATGCAAAATATAATACAACAATCAGCACATCTGTGTCGTTTTAATCACTTAATCGTCGAACACAGGTGAGTATTAGATGCAAATTCGAGAGTATATATCCATCAAGTAAACGAAATGACTAAAAAGTGTCTACTGTTATTTGCGCAAACATATTTCAGGTCGTTTGCAGAGTTAAACAAACGAGCCCATGAGGCGCTCGCCGTGAAACATTACTATAAAAGACTTTCACCGCGAAGCCGACGTATACATACAAGTCGCCCAGGTGATAGTGGAAATTGACCTAAAAGAATACACCTAATTATTGAAATAATAAAATAACCTGGTTAATAAAGTACCGATTTTAAAAATAATAATTTAATTAATAAGCATGTATAAACACTTGTTTCGGCATGCCAAGAATAAAATAACAAATGAAGAAGTCCGGAGAAGAGTGGGCGAAGAAAGGACTCTACTGAGCACAATCCTGAAAAGAAAAGGAAACTGAATCGGATCCGTTCTGCAAAAAAGTGCCTTCTGCACGACGTCGTTGAGGGTAAAATAGAAGGACTAATCGGAATAGGAAGAAGAAAAATGCAGACGATTGACGACTTACGCGAGAAGAGAAAATACAGGAAACTGAAAGCCGAAGCGCAGGATCAAAATGCAAGGATGTAGAAGTTCGGAAAACACATTAAAAATAAAATATGTAAATGGGAAGTAGGAGAATAGTGGTAATTGAAATGATAGACGTCGAGGGTAAGGATATCATTTATTTGTGGTGGCTCTCACACCATGGACTTGTCTTTGGACAGACTGCCATTTATTATTTATTATTATGCCAAGACATCAATTAATCAGATATATGTCTGACATGTAGAACTTCTTAATATATTCGAGGAAAAATGTAGTTTTTGGAAGTGGAATGTTTCTAAAGTTTTATTACATGTGTGAAAACTCAATATTCATCTGCATATTAAAGTTGAAATTTTGCTATTATTAGTTCAGTATCGAATGGTATTAAACTGTTATTGTAATTTTTAGTATTATCAACTGCTCGTAGGGCAAGTTATAGTAATGAGCTAAAAATCGAACATGAAATATTTTGTACATTCATGTTTCAGAGGTTTTAGAATACTTTGGCATACCTCAGAAAAAATTGATGTGTGTGTATGTATGTGTGAATTCAATTTTTGTCGACGTTTTCGGGAGTACTGCTCAACCTATTTGAATGATTAAAAAGCAATCGATTTCTACTAATGGGATTAAGGCCTGATTAGCTCTTGGGAAAAGTCGGTCGATTTAAAAAACATTCAATTTGTAATGATGGGGAGAAGTGGTGATTTTAATTTTAATTTTTATTCTAGCTAAAATACGTGAAAATAATTTTAACTTTGCAATTCAGTTTATTTAATTCTCAGAATTATGAGACAAGATTCTTTATTGAAACTCCCCTTGGAAGGAGATCATTAAGTTTTGTTTATTTAATTTTTATATAAACTTATATGAGCATCATCGTCAAATTTATAAGCTTTTATATTTTGTCTATAAAATTCGAATAATGAAAAGTGCAGTATTTATAATAATATATTTAAAAACATTTAAGGGAGTCTTCCTATATGAGGGCCTGTTTTTTAGGAATATTTTAGGATTTTTTTTCTACGACCAGTGAATATTTAGAGCTTCAAGTTTTTTATCATTTATTAACACATATTTGGACAGTATAAATATAAAATTTCAGCTAAAAATATTCAGTCAAACTAGAGTTACAGCGCTCTGAACACCCCCGCCTCGAAAAAAAGAGCTCCCACTTCCTCCACGATTCCGGCTGATCGGCTTATCTGAAAAAAAAATAAACGGCGTTTTAATTTGTAGGCTTAAAAACACGGAATGACCTATAATGAATATAAAAAAAATTGGATTTTTGATAGACATTTGAAATAAAAGTTGCAAATTAGGCGTTTTTTTGTTTTTTGCTATAAAAAATCGAAGTTTTTGATATGAAGTGATTGATAATGGTTCATTCCATGCGTAAATATATTGAGTGTGCCCTGTAAATTTCAAGTAATTCGGTCCAGCCGTTTCTGAGATACAATGGAGGAAAGTTTGAAAAACACAGTTTTGAGAAAAACGCGTTTAAAGTTTCTAACTGCCAACTCAGCGCTCCGAACCGCTCTTTCTTTTACCTGCAGTATCTTTAAAACGATTTCAAATTTTCTAAAATCGCTTTACTACCGTATTCTAGACATGTTAAGAGAGCAATTTATAAAAAAAAATCGATTTTTTCAACGCTTCACATAGGAAGACTCCCTTAAAGAAAATAAGAAGAATATAGAATAGGATACATATATAAATTGAAAATGATATAAAAATTAGAATGTAAATAAAATAAAAAAGTTGCAAGTGGCTAAATGCTTAGAGTAAGCGAGGCTAAATTAAAGTTTTAAAATAAAAAAAAATCTAACAGAAAAATTGAAAATGTTCTACAAGTCAGATTCGAATGTTTTCTGTTTTAGGCGAAATTGTTTTAGGTCACAATGGCGCTCAAGAGAGAGAGAGTATCTCTAATTCCCGAATACACTCTCCGTGTATAGACAACCTGGCGCAACGTGCACTGTAATATCCGCAAAAAAATATTCAGTTGTGTAGCTAGCCGCCGACGGGACGATCGCGTCATAACTCTCGTACTACTTAAATTGTCAAAAATATTATTCAAATCAGTGATAATTGAATGAGTTATTTTACCTAAATAATTTATTTTTAATCAATGCAAGTGTTCGTTTCTTTCCTGTGATACAAGTGATGACATTGTTTTGGTGATGCAAATAATAAAATGTGGGTTATAAATGCATTTGAACTGTTCACTAAATTATTGCATTAGAGTGTCTTTATGACTGCCAATTGGATTACACAATATTTATGGGACGCTCAAGGTAAAGTTATCATACTGATCTGTTATAAAATTTATTAATATTTATTGTACTGACAGTAACATTATTATTGTCATTTTACAAGTAATTAACTATTCGAAGGAAATGTTAATTTTTGTTACCAAATCCGGCTATAATTTAATGTTTTGACACATTAAAATTGATTATGATATGCATGGTATGAGTGTGACTTTGTAAATCGGCCATCGAAAACAGCAACGATGTCAAAAATCTGAAGCACAGGTTCCCTTTATTGGCAATATGACCCTTTTTGGGTCCAGGACCCTTTGGGCTTTGTCATAGACTCCCTATTTACCAACTAACTAATAAATTTCTAACTGCACAAAAAATTATTAAAATACTCAAAATAAAAACGTTAATTCTATTATTTATTAATTGAATTTAATATAATAAGAAAACAAGCAGAAAGTTCTTTCAAGCAGAAATCGGACGCTTAGTTCTCTCAAAAACTGCCATTTTTTGCACATTTAGCTCCGTATCTTCGAAATGGCTGGGCCTGCTTTTGCCAAACACTAATAAACTTCTCCCAATCATTACTAATTGAATGTTTTTTAGATCATTCAAATCGGATGCTCCGTTCTCTCAAGAACTCGATTTCTATTTTCTGAACTCTTTGCTCTTTATCTCCGTAACTGCTGGACCTGCCTTTGCCAAAAACTAATCAGCACATCTCCCTATCAATAGAAATCGAATGTTTTTTTAACCATTTAAATCGGTTGATCCGTGCGCCCGAAAACGTGACCCAAAAATTGTATCCATACATACATACACACACACACATCTATTTTTTATGAGGTATGCCAAAATGTTCAGAAACCTTCAAAACGTCGAGAAATGTAAAAATTTTCAATTTCGATTTTCGGTCCATTACAATAACTTACCCTACGGGAAGTTAATAATAAAGTAAGCAATGTTTAATTATCAATATTTGGCAACAATTTTGTAAGATTTAATCTTACATCTCCCGGATAATGATGTCCAATCTACATCTTTTAGGTAATTTCGATCAGTAATAACACTAAACTTCCTTTCTACTGTTTATTTTACAACTATTAAATCTTTATTTAATAGTACAACAATCTCAAATACTACAACTACAACAGTCTTAAAATGTGCAAGAAAATTTGCCAAGCCTTTCAATAGTCAACAAATTGGGTCTTTACAAGTTCAACCATATTGCGACCACAAATAGAATGCCTTTTATGCTACAACCTACACATTTTTGTAAAAGTTAATAATATTTTTATTAAATTTTTACTTCTATTTATTAATATTCTATATGACTTTTGTGTATTGTGATCCACTACCGTGGACCCCATTTTCATTTCCAATCCTGACATATTGTCAGGAATACATTTATTATAATTTAATTGATTTTTTTCGTAATAAATACTTAGGTTTATTAATGTGTTTAAATTTTATTGTATGTTTTGCTATTTTTCGAGTAATGTAACTCATTTTATGGAATGGTAATAGCGAACTTTTCGCCAGCATTTTCAAAAAACGTCCAAAAGCAAAATTTAGAAAAAAATTTGAAAATTCTTTGGAAATTTGGTCTGATCACTCCCTTAATGACAGATGCAGCAAGTATAATTTATCAACTATTTTAAAGATCTATAAATATTCGATAAGTTTCAAGTAAAAATCAACCAGTTTAAGACATATTTCATTATTAACAACAGTTTAAGACATATTTTTTCATCTACTTTTTCTCAAAAAAAATCTAACAAAACACTGTCAAAATTAGTTTAAAAGATATAATTTGATATTTTAGCGATTTGTTTTAGTGCAACGTGTGTTAAGGCAAAATGCTGTTTGCAGTGGTTTACTTATTCTTTTAAGTCATGATAATGACAGTATATATATGTATATATATTTATTTTTGGCTTATTATTTACATAATTTTGCTATTAAACCTATCTTATTTATCTAAAATGGCAGTATTTAAATGAAAATGTTTTAAGTAAGTTCATGTTGTTGTCATTCATTCAAATCTTCGTAACACATTGCACGTTCTGAATTGAAGTGTATATTTGACTTTTCAATAATCGCAATTGAGTCTTTTGTTTGCAATGTATTGTTTTTTTTTCAATGTCTCTCCATTTAGATGTTCCCAATTATATGAAATAAGCATTATTTTTAAGTAAATTTTTCTTTGCGTTCTCGCCCTCAATCTAATAAAATGTGCTTTAAATATAAAAAAATGGAAAACGTAAGTTAATTTACTGAACCTTTCCATTACACTAGAGACATATCGATATTCACAGACAAAATACATTTCCAATACAAGTTTATTTATTGAGCATTAGTAATGCATTAATTATATTTTATTTCATACATTTTTAGTTACATATTAAAATTTCTTTTATAATAGGGTGGTTTCAAACTAGTATCATCATATATTTCTTATGATGATGATGATTTCTTTACGTAAAAAAATGTAGACGTTACAATAACTCACAATTATCTATTTATTATAAATTATATAGTTTAGTGATACTAATTTGCTACTTTGTGGTCTTCTGTATCATATGTTTAACTGATTCGACTGTTTGAAATTATTTACAAAGTAATTAAATTAAATTTATTATAACAACTCTATGTTGCTTCTCACAATGAGTTGATGAATACACTTCATTCTCTTGAACAAATAAAATATTATTGAAATAAATTACAATGAACAATCAATTGATAAGAAACAGTTTATTTTAAATATCGTTGTTTATTTAAAATTGAAAATTAATATAAAAATACTTTTTTAATTGTTTTTGAACAGTAATCACAACATATAAGCTATTGGGCTGATTTCACTTAATACTTAATACTATAGTTGGTTCTTGAGATGGCAATCCAAACAGTTGTCCTATCTATATGTCTGATAAATTATTATTACAATTTCTGTAATAGGACAAATATTTATGGAAGCAGCAATGCCTGAACAAAGATATTTTCACTTAGAAACATATGGTTACCTATATTTACAAGTAAAACCCATTGTTACTACTTCTTGACAACATGCTGCTCGAACCCGAATATAAAATAGAAATCTTCATTACTCTTAAACTATAGTTATCAAAAGTCTGATATTGTAAATATATATTTATTAATATTGAAAGCCATAGAGATGCTGAAGGTAAAATTGTACCTTCTTTAACCATTCCCTGTTTTGTCTATGAAGAATAATGCTTAAAATAATTTTCACATCATAATAAGCACATGCTTAAAAATGTTTACAATCTTTGATACAGTTCGTGAGTTTTTTCTCACAATAGCTATCATGAAATATTCACTCATTCTCATGGTTATGTAATCATATTTGTTATTTGCAAATGTGGAAGGTAAGTAAATTGCGTTTGAATCTTAAACAAAAGCTTGAGGCTTCTATAAAATTGACCAAGATTCATATATCATGGATCTTTGTCGCGTTGTAAAAGATTCACATGTATTTCTTGTGGTTCTCAAACCAGACGCACTTCGATAGCTCAAAATTTAACTGAATGAAGATGAAATTATTCGTGAAAATTTTGTCCTAGCATTAAAGATCATAATCTCTAATACGTTATTCTGAATTTATCAAAATAATATAGTTTACCATCAGAAAAAAAATTAAAATTACTAATGAGTAATTAGTTTGTGCCTATAAGTCAGTGGTCGAAAAACGGAATAAATTACTTCCAATGGAGTAAAAATAGTATTTTTGTAATAAAAAGTATTTTTAATTGATATTTAATGTATTTGCTACTTAGTTAGACCGTAGAGACCGTAGAGGGGTAATTTCTCTTTGTTGTGGTGGTAACATCAACTTATTGTTAGACAAAAATATTTTGGTGTAATGAATAAAATTGTTCCCCGAACGCTGCTATAAGTGAATAGAACTAATATTAGAAACAATTCAGTAGAAAATATTTTAAATACTATAAAAGTTAAAATTTAATTTTAAAAGTTCAGCCTACGCTGTAATGCTTATTAGCAAAAGCAAATTCGGAATCAATTAGACTGTCCTTTAAATTATTTTTTGTTCTAAAATTTTAGACATGAAATATGTATTTACATTACTAACTTTTGTTATTTTACAGTATTTTCAAAAAATCAATTTTTTTATATATATTTTTAACAGCATTCAGAGCCTTATGTCCTATGAGCTGGTGGGCTGAAACTTCTCCTTACTTCGTATTTTTTAGATGGTAACCCAATGGTTAATCCATTCATATTTGATGATTTTGTTATTAGAATTAATCTAATAGGGCTGACTTTTTATTGGTGCAGCAATGACGGCAAGGGCTATTTTCACTTGGAAACATATTGCTATCTATATTTCCAAGTGAAAATCGTTGTCACTGCTGCCTGACAACAGGCTGCTCGAAGTGGATATTGAACCCGGGATCTCTGAATCAGGTCCCATCGCTCTTAACAGCTTACCTACGGGCGAGCTCAAAAAATCAAAAATGAAACGTTTTTTACTTCTCTGCGTTTCAAGTTTTTACTACCTCCTGACTATTTTGCTATTTTTGGCATGAAATGAAGGATGAGTGTATAGTGTATATTATGTATCAATTTTTAGTTTATGTCACAAGCTTTATACCATCTGTCTAATCCGAATAAAATGCCTAATTCAAAAGTAAAACTGATAAAATTTTGCTGATTATGATATTACTTGAATCAAGCACTTTTATAACTTTTGGTAAAATGCTTTCACTCTTTGGTAACATTCACTTTTCGTGGTGAATGAAAAGTTGAAGACCACCTAGCTATTTTGGATCTACTTATAAGATAATGTGTGTGTAAATCTATGTGTGTATATGGGTGTAGTATGCATGCTTGTTTGCATATAACTCTTCATCCAGATTTTTTAGGAATTACTAATAATCCATCACTCCCCTGTGTTAGATCTATCAGGCTTTTTACAATTATCAGACAACAATTAGATATTGTAATTACAATATAATTAAAATTCATGTAAAAAATCTGGTTAGTCTATAAAT